TACACATAATAAAGCAAGAATTTTTATTATATCGGGTTAAATTCTCATTTCCACGTGTAGTAAAAATAAAGTATAAAATAAGCATTTTTCCCAGCGCATTTACGCAAGAGAATTGCATATTATAAAAAAATCAATCGTTACTATCTAAAAAACTCTGATTTAATCCACCAATAAGGACACTTCTCTATAAAATATATTGCGCATTATCTAATCATGTCCAGTTTAACATTATTCAACTCTTCTGGAAGCATGCCATTTTTAGTCTTAACCGCCGTTTTTTTGTTCGTTGGTCCAGTGATATTTATAAGTATCATTACCATGTGGTCAAATCTCAAACAAAAAATTTCCGATGAACTTTCCGCACATGTCATCAAAATTCTCATCGATCTTGGTATACTAAATAATATACCGGAAATCGGAAAGAGGTCACTTCATGACCAGATCTTTACTGAACTTAACGATAAATTTGACACATGTATTTCCGATATTAATTCTACTTTCACTGTGAAGCTTGACAGAATCAATAATGAACTTAATAATAAACTTAACGAAGAAGTTAATGCAGGGTTCGGCAAGATTAATACCGAACTTAATAGTAAACTTACTGCAGAAGCCGAAAAAAACAAGGCATGTGATGATGACTTCACTAAGGAGACACAGAAAATCTTTTCAATGATCAGTACTGTTACCGAAAGGCTCGATAGGATCGAAGAAGTCTGTCATAATGATTTTGGAAACATTTTGTCCGAATTTACATCAATCAAAGCTTCTATTGAAATTCTTCAAAATGATTTGGCCCAACGTTATGCGGTTGTCTGAAGAGCTGATTTCGATCAACAAAGCATGTCCAATGAATCTGAAACTAATGAATCTGAATTGGGAAGTTCGCTAAACTCTGCCTCAGCTTCAACTAGTTCAAGCTCTTCTTCTGGAGGTTCCAATTTATCTGGAATTTTTGATATTACTGGAGACATTAGAATCCGCTTTAAACAACATTTTGATCGACTTATGAAGGCGAGGAATTATACTGTTGATGAGATGTGTTTCTCGATAACAATGGATATTCATAGTCTTGGAGGGAATATTAAAATCTCAACAGTGAAAACTTTTTATAGTGGTGTACAGTTAATCAGATAAACGCATGGGTAAATAGTTTTAATAATAATGCGGAGTAGCGGGGAAGGAACTGCCAATATATGGGTTAGGGCTCGGCAGGATTAACAATCAGGCATGTTCTTTCATGTCTTTCCTCCCTTGAAACAACCTGCTACTCTGTTGTTTTTTACTTTCATTTTTCCTAGCCGGCTAGCCCTTTCTTATATTATTTTATGAAAAGAATATGTGTGTGTTTTATGTGTATATACGCTCTAAAATTAAATTTTGTGTTCGCATATCAATGAAAAACATATCTGGCTTGTAATAAAAAAAACTTGGCTATTTGATATCATCATAAATTTTGCTTGCTTTCTAGCATTTTTTTCTCAAGCTTTTATTTTTATAACTTTAGATTATCTAATTCATTAAAAAAAACTCACTCATAAAAATTTAATCTAATACAACTTTGTCAATATAACAATAAAAATCTAATAAACACTCCGAAAAAAAAGTGAATGATTAACTTAGGAAAAAGTTACGTTAATCATTAAATAACAAAAAACGAACTATCCACCGCATAATCGCTACTGCGCACACCCACTTTAACGAGAATCCAAGCAGTGCCGATTGGCTCCTGTTGAGGTTGAGCATTTCGGTCAAAGAATGCATTGGGGTATAGCCCGCGAATGTTATCGCGCACGGTGTAGAGTTCAGTCATATTTTGGAAGTGAAAAACACCGAGAGAACCTTCATCTCTGCGTTGATTATTTTGGAGATTATTTGTCGCAAATGCAGTCATTACAGCTTGATAGGTCGCATACGTGTTTTGATTAATCCAATTTTGATTTCCTACGATAATAAGAACAGGATCCAAGTCGTCCGCTTCATTAATTTGTCTTTCGTACCTCTCAATGTCTTTGTTGGAAGCTTTCGGGAAAATGTCCTCAAGAGCCTCTCGTGTAGAGGCGAACATCCTAGAAATAATAATGTGAAAAAAGGTTAACTACAATAGCTTGAATAAAATTACACATTACTCACTCGTCTATGCCGTTATTATCATTCATGTCGTTTCCTGGTTGTGATAAATTACTGATTAGATTATCAGTCATATAACACGTGAAATCTCTCAACAACCGAATAGAAACAAATATATTAGCAGTAATAGAAGCAACAAAGACGAAAGGTAACATCTAAAGAATGTCAATTAGTGCAATGGAGACAATTTAGAAAAGTGATAGAATTTAAAAAAGTTGGCAAAATGAGAAGACAGACCAGCCAGCCGAATAAAGAACACACTGGAAGGATCGCGACATAAGTGAACCAGGTGAACCATTCGATGGACGATAAAAGTGACATGGATGAAACAATTTTTCGGATGATTCCTTGTAAAAACATAATTTTGTAGTAAGTGTGAGAATCTGGAAAGAAATCTTTATAACAATCAAAAGAATCATCTGGGGGTATTTAACTTTAATAATGCGATCACATGAAAAATGATAAGTATTATTGTTTAAAAATTACGAATTATATGATTTTTTTATGGTGATTTTTAACGTGATTGGTTGATTTTACTAATCAATGATTTATTATCACCTGGTTTATGGTACTAAAGATGTTCTAAAGCCTCTTCGACTATAAGAAGTATGATGGGACCGTTAAAAATACACCGGCAAGGCATTATTAGCATCACGGAGGCAAGCAATATAGATTCTCAACAGGGACTTTACTAAAGTTATGATCTAATTTATTTCTGACACTGCATGTCTCGTATAAGTATAACTGATGACCGGTTTTATTTTATCCAGATGAGGACGGATCATGGAGTTAATGCTGGGTAATTGTGTTAGTATAGTTTAGAAAAGTGAAAACTGGTGTGGTCCACATGTGCTTTGTAAAGCAAACCTATGTAGAATTAATAATTTGTTTGGTTGCCCACATTAGGCTCGTTATTTTTAACATGTATATGATATGGTGTGTGTGTCTGAGAAATTTCTATTCGATTTTTCATGTAATTCCGGACGAATAAATTATAGTCAAAAAAATCGCAAAAGCGTTTAAAATTTTGAGTTTATTCAATGAGGCCCAACTCTCGAAGATGATTTGGAATGACTACGTATGGATCCTCGTAAT